GGCAAAGCCAGGCTGAAACTGGAAGCCAGGTGTTGAGGGTCAGTTTCCAGTGTGGGTGATAGGAACCCAACTACCTGAGCCATCACTACGATCTCCCAAGGGTCTGCACCCTGTAGCAGGAAGCTGGAGTTAGGAGCTGGAGCTGGGTATTGAAACCACTCACTGCCATATGTGATGTGGGCATCTTCACCGCTAAGCCAACATTCACTCTGATTGTGCTTCGAGAGTATTTATTCTACATGACGATCTGTTCAGATGAACAGGAAGGATGTACAAGAATGGCAGTGTGCTTGTGGTTTTAGGAAGTTAATGCAACCTTAGCATCTGTGGATATTGATTGGTTAAACCAACATATGTGCTTGTATCTACACAGAACAGCCCCAGGTAGACAAGAAGCAATACTAACGATGTTTGCCTCTGGGAAGAACCAGGGAACTGGGAATAAGCTGGTGGAAAGAAGCTCTCTGCTTGGATTTTTACAATGGCCTGCATTTCCTGTTTAAAACAAAGTAAGAAAGTACAGCAGGCTCTTTGTCACTTTCCCTTCTCCTAATAATTAAAAGCTTCCTGTTTTGTCTGTTACAATCTGAAGTTAGCTGTCATTCTCTTTCAGGTCTACAAATGACTGATTCCCAATTATACCAAGCAGTTCTTTGCAGTCTCCCAGCTCCTTCCTCCGTGAAACTCTGGCATCACAGATGTAAGGGCATTGTCCCTACCCTGTCTGAACAGTCTCATTCTTGGATGCCCAGACAGAAATATCATTTCTTTTCTCTCTTTCTTCCCTTCAAAGACCCTCTGTGGTGTGTCTGCCCTTCCTTGGCCTGTTGGTTAACTTTTTTGCATCTGATCTTCCCTGTAGAATCAAGCACCCCTCTCCATCGCTAAATTTAAACTTTGACATCTCAACCCAACAACCTCCAAGATGTGCTCTTTCTTGAGCCCGACTTTGAATCTGCTGGGCCTGCTTTTGTCCACCTGGAGAGCTAAGGCCTTACATCTCAGAAAACCACTAAAAATTGCTACCAGCTGGCATCAAACATGGTGCAAAGTCCCATACACACCTGATGTCATATAGTTCTAACAGAGAGGGGGGTGAGGGAAATGAAGGGTGAGAGAAACGGTTAGCCAGAGGTCACACAATTAGTGTGCGGCAACCCTGGGGTTGAAATTGCACTGTGACTCCTCAGCTGCCACATATCACCTTGTCAGAAACCTGTGGGGTCTTGCAGCTTCCTTCCTCTCTCCACCAAGTTTGAATGTCATGTCACATTCCTGCCTGGCTTATGACACCCCAGCCATATTGCTTCTGCAAACTTCTGTTTCTCCACCATGCCTCTGATCTTGGTACAGGTGTGTGCATCAAAGGGCAGAATTTACTGGGGCGCAGAACAATGCACACAACTGGCTGAACAGACTGAGGTGGAATGATTTGTGGTGAAATTAAAGCCAATTATGGTGCAACACGGTCCTCAGATTCTTCTCCATTACCACGGGCCTACGTGCAAAGCTCTGCTGAGTACACATAGTCCAGTCATTAACTTAACACCTTGCCAGGTCAGAAAAAAATTCACTTCTAATGGGAGTCAAAATGGAGCTATTCCAAGACATCTATGACCTCAGAAACAGCTGCACTTTGGCAAACTGAAGTCCTGCTGCTGTCCATCTGGGGCTCCCCTGGGATGACTTGCTAAAACCCACTATAACCACTCTTTAGAGCCCAACAATCTACATTTTTACTAAGCTGTCCAAGTCATTGTTTGGCTTCCCAAATTGAGGGGAAAAGTGGGTCTATCTGCAGAATCACTGAGGGTTTCTTTGGTGGAGGCTGTCAATTTCACATTTGTTTGCCTATTAGGTACCCCTGGGGTTTCCTAACATATGCTATTTCCATGCACCATGGGGCCTTGCTGTAACAGCAGTTTGCACTTCCTGCCTCTTGGTCCCTTCTGCTTTGCCTCTGCCTTTGTCCATGGTCACCTGTCAGGTGGCGGAAGCAACGCACCCTAGACCAATTCAGGGTATTTACCTGGAATGCTTGTAAGGTTTGGTTGGTCAGGGAATTGACTTAGAGCTAAGTTTGAGAAATATTGATCTGAAGAGATCAATATGGCTGTTCAGGGAGTTCTTTGATGAGCTGATTTTTTTTTAAAGGCCACTTAAAAGCTGCAAAGTCAAGGGTTACATAAAGGGCTCCGTCATTAGTTCTGTTTAGAGTAGGACTCGGGAGTCTGAAGTCACCAACCTGAAAGGAGCAATGTGAACAGGCAAGGAAGATTAAAAAAAAAAAAAAAAAAAGAAGACACACTTGCTGACTTAATCCACCTTGTGATAAGAACTGTTTTTGGTAGAAATGGCAGACCAAAAAAATCGATAGATAAGAGGGTTCAAAGGCCGTGATTTCAAGACTTCTGGCTCATATAAACATGTATCAATCTAGTGACACATTCATGTGACTGTTGGATACCGGGAGGTCAAAAAACATGAATGATCATTAGGTATAGGAGTCTGAATGATGTGAAAAATTAATTGTATTCATTTTAGAAAAGCGAGCTTAATTTGTTGGTGGCTAATACTTCAGAAAGTATGATTGGTTCATGAAGTTTTGAGGAAGGAAGCAATGGACCAGCTCCAGTGGAGTAGCAGTTCATTAACAACAACAAATATCCCATCTCTGCCCCTTGGAAAATGGGGCTGTGATGGAACAAATGCATGCACGGATGGGCAATTAGTATGGGGGAAGATGGTGAGGTGTGGTGGGGTTACTTGATCATTGAGGAGAGGGGATGCAGTTTGTGGTTCTCCAGTTAATAACTAGGTTTCAGTGGAATGAACTGCTCATGGTAAGCTAATAGGCTCACGGAGATGTGGACCAGCAGGGTCACAATGGCAGAAGGATGAAAGGCTAAGGCATGGGAGCACAGGGGTTAACACAGCTTCTGGAACCAGAATTCCAGGTTAACATCATCTGAATGACACACGCATTTCTTGATTAAACTCCAAACTTGAGCTTTCTCACCCATGAAGAGGATACATCCACCTCACAGGACTGCAGGGAGATCATGAGGAGTAGCACAGGCAGAGCAGGAGGCTCAGCCCTGGGCTCCCTGGCCTTGTATCCCTGGGGGTCAACTGCAACTCCATCGGGCTTCTCATGTCCCATGGCTGAACTGGTCCCTGCCCTGTTCAACATTGTGCCAATGCCTCAAAGGAGGCACAGTTGACACTAAAGCTGAATCCAGCGATCACAGGATCACTAACACTCTTCTTAAAACACAATGCCCCCAGGCTGGGTAAATTGTGCAGAAGCCTTCAGACCAGCCCAGAGATGACATACTCCTGTTTGTTAACTGGTTAGACAGTTCCTTTAGAATGAACCTGGAATAATCCATTTTTTGAGCATTCATTCATTCATTGAGCACCTGCTATCTTTCAGGCACCAGGGAACAAAGGCAAATGAAACCCTGAGCTCCTGCTTTCAGGAGCATACAGACTCCAGGATGAGAAGAACAAAAGAGGCCATTTCAATCCAGAGCAGTGAGTGCAATGCTACTATGTGTGGGGGTGGAAGAAGGAAGAGTAGTGGAACACAGAGCACAGAAATTAACCCAATTTGCAGAGGTGGGGCTGTCACAGAGTGCCTGGGACAGGATGACGTCTGTGAGTGGAGGCTTAAGGGATGAGTAGGAGTTGAGGGAAGGCATTGGAGTGACAGAAATCTGGGCGGAAGGAACAGTATCTGCAAAGGCACAGGTGTGAGTAACAGCAGGGTGTGGTATATGCCAGGAACCACAAGCAGAGTGGTATTGTAGGATCTGGAACAGGAGGCTGACACATGGGAGGGGTGGGTGGAATATGCTAGAGCAATAGGGCAGAAGCCAATTTCATCCCATGGCAATGCATGGAGCAGCACAGCCAGACTGTGCTTGAGAAAGATCCCTCTGTGGACTACTGGGAAGATAGGCTTGTCAGAAGCAGCTGGAGTCAGGGAGATCAGCAAGGGTACCCGATCCCAGCCAGAGCAAGATGCTTCTACGAGACCAGTGCGGAGAAGACAGAGCAACAGCTCAACAGCTAGGTACGAGTACCAAGGAAGGAAGTGCTGAACAGAACCAGTGCCGTATGGAGATAAGCGACAAAAGGAAGAACTGCACAATTGTGGATAATGTACAGTTTCTTACAACAGATTAATAGAAGAGGGAGAATTCAAGCAGGAGAAAAGCTTTCTTGGGGCAGGGAGGAGTGGGTTACAGATGATCATTTTGTGATGTGGCATTTAAACTATGATACCAAAGGGGAAATACTGGCTTAAAAACATGTTTAGTATCCCAGACTAGAGAGAATGGTTCCAGAGTTAACAGCACTGCACAGCTAATACAGAATACAAACACTCTTTTGTGACTACAGCAAGCAAGGAAAGTAGCAAGTAAAGCAAAAAGTAAAAAGATCCTTGGAAAACAGTAATGCCTAAAGGATGACAGAAGAGGAACTGGTTAAAAAAATAGATGTGTAAAATGCAATACAGAAAGGCCTATTGTGTGAAGCAAAGACAGTGTAACCTCCATTTACTAATTGGGCCATCACAAGGACGCACACTGACTAGACTTCTTGGTCACAAACAACTGAATCCGCTCACATGACTTGCAGCAGAGGGGTACTTATTAGAGCTGAAGTAGCAAGGATAAAGGCCAGCTCTTGCGACAGGACTGAGTAGGGAAAGGCCCCATCACCCACTCTTTCCCATGCTCAGCACTTGCTGCCAGGTATTGCAGCCTTCAGTAGAGCTGCCCCAATAACACAGATGTCCCAGCCATGGTGCCTGTAAGAAGAGCCACTCTAACCAAGAGTGGTCTCATCTTAGGATGACCTTGCTTCATGCCTCTTAACCGAATGCTCACCTTCAACTTTGCAAAAGCCAACTGTGCCATGATGGAAGTGATCCAGACGAGATTCATGTGCAGAGGCAAGAATCAATAAATGAAGATGGAGTCCAAAAAAAAAAAAAGGCAAGAATAATCTTTATTCCTTGGAGACACATTTGTAAAAACGTTATCAGCAAGATGAAAAGATTCAGAACATGTTCATTTGTATGCAGCATGTACACGGAGGAGGAGGAAAACATTGGCTACAATGGAATACACCTGTAAACAAACACTGGGTGTGGGAAGATGGGCGGCCAGCTCCATTGTGCAAAGTACAAGGCTGATTCTCTCCTGAACAGACTTCGGTGGTGACTGAAAAGATCTGGTTTTAGCAATAAAATATTTCAGATGATGTCATTACATCATTGTAAAGGACATAAAATGGGCCAACCTTCGATGACATCTACAGAAGTGGCACAAGAATGAAGTGCTCCTACAGACACAACTGATGAAAGAATAAACAGACTTGTCTATTGAGAGAAAAAAAATGCTTAGCTCCTGATTTGAAATGAGGAAAATAAATATTTTGGTACAAGTTTTACTCTAAAAGACAGCATCTTGATTCCTCTTTCTGCACAAAGACTGGGGCAATGCCCATTCTACAATACTCTACAGAATGCTTTGGCACAACTTCAAATAAACCTTATCTGCTTTCATGGGAGCCATAAGTGCATCCCAGTTGCTTTTTTTTTTTAAAAGCAGTGAATTCTAGGATAACATAACAAGCCCTTAATTCCAACAGTGTTTATTTGCCACGATGTCTCCTGAAAGCGTGGAGTTAGCAGCACCAATCACTAAGACACTAAAAATTATTCTCATACTGGAGCAGCAAAGCTAGGATGGTGGATGCTATGCAGTTCATGACTAGTACAATGGCTAACATTTAAACTGGTTCAATTGCTTTAACATGGGAAATTCAGTCTCCCTGAATTTACATCACATCTAATAAGTTATATACTCTCTTTAGCTTCCCGAAAGGGAAATCCTCTTTTAGAAAGGAGGATATTGTTGTTTTCCTTTTAAGGAATTTAGTTTAAATATACTCATCAGCCTAAGAATAAGTAAATCTAACAGATTACAGATTTTTAGAGTCAGAGAGGACCTTGAGGTCACTCTTTTCCAGAGGGAGAAACGACAACCCAGCTCACACAGTGACGGAGACCAGGCTCTGGCAATCTCCATCCCTCCGACTGTCCTGTGTGTCAAATTACCTTCCTAAGCTTTTCTGGTTTTAGTAGGTCCCGTTAATTAAATAACAAGCGTATCAGGAACAAAGCAGTATGACAAACACAGACTCTCACTCCAATTTTAAAATCAGAATATCAAAATGATTCCTGAGCCTTCAACTACCTTCATTGTTACTGAGTAATGCAGTCAATAGTAAATTACGACTAGTGATCACAGTGATCCTCAAATATTTACAAAGACATTGAGCACACTTTCTGGAACTATTCCTTAAAGACCCTGCTTGAACAAGCGTATCCCCACACGGTGCCCAGACACGCTCATGGAATGCCAATGCGACTGTGGTGGTGAATGGATGGATGCAACTCGCTCCAGTCTCTCAAAGGGCGGTCATGAGCTTATCTCGATACACCATGCTCTGCATCCCTCCCAAGTTCTTCTGGTTCTGGTCGTGGACATAGTCAAAACGGCTGTCGTCTCCACTGGCTGGTGCCTTCCAATGAGACCTGTCATCGTGCAAGGATGGCCTGTGTTGTTTGCAGAGTGCATGGTTAGTGAGAAAATGGGAGAAACTCAAGAGAGGTGAGTGAGACAAAACAAACGTGAAGGAAATGGGCAGCACAAGCCATGGGTGGAGGGGAGTTGCAAACAAAAAGGAATGGGTTTTCCATGGTAAGGAACGGATTTTCTCCGTAAGGCCTTAAACAGGGCAGATCGTTCATTGATTTTCACGTAGAGAAAAACTGTGTCTATGGCTGAGTCACCACTTCTAAAGGGCATCTGAAGGTCATAGGGCCTGCTGGGTTCAAAGGGAAAATGCTTCCCTCCCTCGAAGCCATGGTCACGTTAGTAATGTGTCTCAGACAGCATTTCCCAAAAGCCTGGGGGCCAATGGATTCTCTTCTCAGGGTATACCTCTGGAGAGCTAAAATGTTGGTGAACGAATTAAATGACAAGTGCATTTTGGCACAAAAATTCTGAAATCCATGCATAATTATTTTTATCATATGCTTTTCCCATGAGCTTTTGGGAGATCCCTCTCCTATGGCAGATTTCAAAAATATTTTGCACCAAAACAAAAGTTTATTTTAATTCCACTTTCCATGAACTTTTAAAGCTCTCATGTATATATTATAGAATGATAGGTCCCAGCCCAGTGACTGGGGAGGAGGGCACGGGGAGGGCTGAGAGTCTGCATCAGGCTCCTGGGTGATGCTGCAGCTGGTGGCAGTGAGGGCCATGCAGAGACGCCCTGGCCATGGCTATCCTCAGAACCACCGTGGTGTGGGGCCGAGCCAGGTCACACGTCAGACAGAAGCCACTGAGAGGACATGAGCAGGACTGAGCACACACTTTTCTAAGAGCCATGCTAATAAAAACAGCAATCCCAGAACCCCCTCCTGCTTCTTATGTCTGGAAAATAAACTGCCTCTGGGATCCATAATTCTGACTCTACTAATCTAATCAGCCTCAAGAAATTACCTGCATATCACGGGTTCATAATAAATCGGCATCGCTGTGTTACAAGACTCTCAGTAAACTTTCCTTTAAGACTTGCTCAACTTTCATCACCCCATTCTCTGTACTTTTTCCAGGGGCCACACTGGCCCCCTCACCTTCATGCAAACTGGACTGACCCACTCTAGTTCTGAGGAGCTGGGCTCAGAAACGCTCGTTAAGCCTGATCTACAAGTCAGATCTTGCAGGCATGTTTGCAGTGAAAAAACTTTCCAGCTGAAGCATGAAGCCAGCACAGCTGATGCCCGTCACTCCTGGAAGGAAGTGAGAACCACTGCCCTCTGGCCGAGGCCACTGGCCTGCTGGAGCACAGCCATGCCCTCTTGCTGATGTGCTGCAGTGGTATGGGCAGCAGTTGTCACAGTGACCACAAAGCAGCAAACATTAACTGGCCGTTTCCCGAAACAGCTTACTGACTCTGGGTTGGGGGAAAAGCAGAGTCATGGCCACAAAAAGTAAACCCTAACTGTATTCCTGAACAGAACAAAGAAAAATCCTTAAAAACAAAACCAAAAAGACCAAAAACAAAACAAAACCCAAAACAAAACAAAACAAAGAGCAAAACCAATAATCCCCAAGCTCTGGCCACATTTCAAGTAAATCAATTCTTAGGACTGAAAAACTGTTACTCAGAAATGTAAAGTCATGTCTCATACAAAAATAAGCCAAGTATATCTGAGATTAAAATGACCGTTGAGAAAAGCAAGCATTTTGAGTTTATTTCACAAAGCTACAACTTAGCGAGACCAGGCCGGTAAGCTTGTGGCTGGCCTCCTTGGCATAGTTGATCTCTCTTATCCTCTGCCGCAGCCACCACCACCACCCTGTGGCCTTCTAGAATGCTCCTTACACAGTGCGATCCGGATTCCGATTTCAAGGGGTAGCAGAAGTTTTGCATGCAGAGCTCCGGCACTTACCTAACATTTGGGGAGTGTGGGTGCCATCGGGGCTGGCTGGGGTGCAGGTTGGGATGGTACTGAGGCTAGAAACAGAACACAAACTGTATTACTGGATGATCTTTGGGTTTCAATGGGCTTCATTCACTTCCTCCCACACAAGGACCGAGGGGGCTGGGAGCCCAGAAGGGTTACAGCCAAGTCCTCCTTCCCAGGATGATCGCGTTTCCCCCACCAACAAAGGCCCGGGGAAAGGAAGGGTGCAGGGCGAGGGGGGATGGAAGCCAGTTCTTGAGCACCCAGTTAGGAGCTGGAAAGCTGCCCTCTGAAGAAAGGCAGCTCTGGAAGGTCCCTTCCAGGCAACACTGGTGCTCCCCAAGGAAGGGGCTGCCGGGACAGGGGCAGTGGGCAGCGATTCCTCTCTTCACTAACAGATTCCGTCACTGCTGAAATGACGACAGCCCAGACAATGGTGACATCTAAGACACAGATGAGGGTGGGGATAGCACACTGAGGAAGCAAGGCCTTTCTTTTGGATGTAAGCAATCAAAACTGTTCTCTCAAATGCAATCTAAAACAAGGAAAAGGGCAGCCAGAGCATTCACTGTGCTGATAAACAGGAGTGGGAAAGAGGGAATGGAAGAAAGTTGTGGGTAGAGAAGCCAGGGTGAAGTGGACATGACCAGGAAGGCCAGGAGGCTGCTTGCCTAGCCACCTGCATCCTGCAGAGGGCAGTATTCCCAGCCACTGCGAGCAGCCCTGGGCTTCGCCGGCTCAACTTTCCATGGGGCACAGGAGGCCCTGCAGACAGTCTGGCCACCATTCATCTCTTAATTATTTGTCCTTCCCTTCTTGTTCTCCTGCTGCTTTGGTTTATCAGCAGGAACCAGCTTTCTGGAACAGAAAATGCTCAGCAATTCCTCTGATCTACTTGTTGCAGGCCTGCGAGGTCCTTTCTGCCTTGTCTATATTCTGGGGACCAGCCTTTTTCTCTCTTCCTCCAGGGAGGAACGAAAAGGGGCAAAAAGGGGATTGCAGAACACCTTAGGACCTCAATCTCTGGGTACTCACAGGGGCTTTGGATGCCTCTGAGGCCATTTCTTCAGATTTCTAGGGGGAACGGGAACTCCCAGAGTGCAGACGACCCACCCAAAGCCAAGCTACTGCAGGTATTTGGCTCATGGCGAATGAGCTAGAACTGAGACCCTATGTCCTGACACAACCAAATCAGACCCACCCGAGAGGTGGGACTCTCATCCATACACTCGGAAAAAGGCGGTGCCAGCACCCTCCTCGACTACCTCCGGCTAGTTCATGCAAGCTTCTAGGTGTCGGGGAGTAGTTTAATGTTAATCCATATGGCTCTCCCATAGGGGACAATTGGAAATCCATGTGTGCATTTTTGCTTGTTGAGATGACAAAGCCAAAGGGGAGCCACATATCCTGCAATCCTAGGGAGACCCCCAAACAATGGAGAGCTATCCCACACCTGCCTCTGCCCTAATGGCAAGTGCATGGCAAACCATCCCTGGCAGCTGGTGGACCCTGCTCTGCCTGGAGTTGGAGGAACACATGTAGCACTTTTCCTGTTGCCATGTAAAGCAGCCTCTTTCTCAGGAAGCCCTCTTCCCAGTCCATCTCCTCTTCATGGTGATGACAAAGCAGCACTAAGACCAGTCAGGGGCAAAGGACCCATGGTGGCCAAAGACACTGAGGGAACAGCATCTCCAAGACCAATGTCTGTGGCTCTGATTTCAGTAGAGTGCAGCAAGGTTCCCAGAGGGGCTGCCCTTTCCTTATTTCTCTCTCTCTCTCTGATTCCCTATCAGCCAACAACTTTCCTCTCCCCAGCCACCCACAAATGCTACCACAAAATACATCCTGTGAGGCATGGCACTGTGGCATGGTGGCTAAAAGCCGCCATCTGTGACAACACCATCCCATATGGGTACTGGCTTGAGAGTCAGCAGCCTGTTTACGGCCTGAGAAAGCAGCAGAAAATGGTTCAACTGCTTGGGCCCCTACACGCACATGGGAGACCTAGAAGGAGTTCCAGGCTTCTGACTTTGGCCTGACACAGCACCCCCTGGTTGCGGTGACCATTTGGGAAGTAAATCATTGGATGCAAGATCTCTCTCTCTTGCTTGCTGTAATGCTGCATTTCAAATAAATAAATAAATAAATAAATAAATAAGTATTTTAAAACAAATCCTATGAATAAGAAGATCCAAGATCCCAAGGAGAATGGGGGAGAAAGGAAAGTGGGAACATTTCTCCCAGCAAGTTCAAAACACTTTTTGTTCTTCTTTTTAACTTCTGCAAGTCATTTCTAGGTTCTACACATTAGGAAATTGATTTCATGCAATGAAAAGTCAGTGGCTACAGAATTCTTCTAAAACATACCTTGGAAAGCTCATAAAGTTAACGTACGTTGGACTCTCGCCTCCGCTGAAGCAATTAATATCTATATTAATCAGGAAAGTGCGTAACCAGAAGGCGGCTCCGAAATGAAATGGTGTATGGAATAGCTTCTTCGTTACTTAGCGACATTCAAAGCCCGACTGGTGACAGGCACAGAAAGCTGGGAGAAGAGTATGCCTCAGACAGTCCCAGCCCTTCAGGACAAGGGAGTGGGCCCCAGGTCAGAAGGCATCAGATGTAGATGCCACAACACAAAAGATCATCTCCCTAATCTAGGGGCCTGATTATTCTTCCAAGGTCGCCAGACGCTGTGAACATGGAGTGAGGCTGAGACCCACTGGGAATCAGTGGCTTCCAGTGAAGAGGATCCAAGAAGGCAGCATGGAGGCGGTGGCTTCTGAGCTGGCTTTTGGAAGATGTTTTAGCGCAGAGATTAGAGGCAAAGGAATTCCAGGCAGATGAGCACGGACCAGGAAGTGGTGGGAAGAAAGCCTGGGCCAACTATTATGTAATTCTCTGTAAGCTGAACATATGGTGTGTGATGAGAAATGGTGAGAAATAAACGCAGAAAGTAGAAGCCAGGTTGTAGAAGGCTGTGAATGGCCAGGGATGGCCACCCACAGTGGCTTGGGAGGGACCTGCTCACTGCAGCCTGGGCTGTGGCCCACACCTGTCATGCTACCAAGCAAGGACTTTCTCAGCAGTGTGTCAGAGCTCCATTGTGTCACAGCATCACTGCCAAGAGCTCAAAAATGAGTACCAGGGAGGGGTGAGGCTAGTTTCTTCCAGGGCCAGAGGGAGGAGGCTCCACTATTCAGATGGTTTTGTTCCGTATTGGACTACAAAGAAAGAAAACCAGTACTTTCCATGGGGCTTCAGTACCAACACCCCAGTGGGTACCTTGAAGTCATAGCTGACCACATGGCCTTTTCTGGAGGCACCTCTCAAGGGGTCATAGTCACGAGGCTCTGGACAGCCCTTAACCAATAGCTGCTTCCCGTGGATGCTGCCACGAGGCTGCCCTGCACTACTCCCACTCCTGACATCGGCCAGGCAACGAGGCTGAGAACAGGCACTGGGGTCGCCCAGAGGAAGGGTGTGGGGAGAGCGGTCTCTGCTTGCTATTGTCTCAAGAAAACAGGCCCTGGGACTAGTTCTTCCATCTCATGATCAACACAGTGGCTATTTCTTCCAGGAAATTCAGAAACTTTAGGAAAAGCAGCATCTTACCTGGTAATTATGGACATCAGGATTTGCTTTTGAGCTAAAAAAAAAAATAATAAATAAATAAATAAGAGAGAGGGAGAAAGATAAAGCATAACTTAGGCTTTCAAGTGGCATTGTTCCTGATTTACTTAACAAGCAGCACTACCCACCAAGCCCTTCCTGCTCTATTAGGGATGTTCACATCCCATTTCTTTTCAGTCATTGATGCCTGAAATGAACACTTAACTGAGTAAACCACAAATAGCATGGTCGCTCATCATGAACAAGCTCACAGATACTAACATGGAGGTAATGCTCCAAACGGCAGTAACAGTACCATTTTCTGGTTTTGGGCACCCCCGACACCCGCCCCCAAACAGTAGGTCTTTCCACACAGATCTCTGTTTTTTTGCTTCAGGCTGGGCAGCATCAAAAGGCTCCAGGGAAAACTAGAGCTCCACCCAGCTGGAGGGGGGGTATCTCCCATGGGGCACTGTGGAGGGAGTTGCCGGTGAACCCCTAGCTGTCAGAGACGCCGCAGCTGACCTGCCCACCATGTTGGAATGCTCATATTCTTCCAGCCTGTGTACTGGGAACTCCACATCTGTTACTATTTAATCCATACCCCAAGGCCATAAGGTCAGCACCTCATCTCACAGACAGCAAAGCAGTTGCCCAACTGAGAATTGGGAAACCTGCTCAGGGTTATCCAGCTGCTGAGGGAAGAGCCAGAGGGCTGGAACCTGCTACCTGCCCAGCCCCAAAGCCCAGCTTTTTGCTGCTAAATCTGGGAGATGTGCAGAGATCCTATGGGGAATCTTAACTACACTCAGCCCATCTTCAAAAACACACATGCTAGACAATTCTATACAGCTAGGGATGGGTTGGTGTAAAACGCAACATGCTTGAAGCAGAGCTCATTATCTGGGAGAAAAACCACAAACAGGTACAATCATTGGGCAATCGTGGTTGCTAGGGTGGTGTGTTGGAAATGAAGGCTTATTGCTCCTGTGGCAAGGAGAAGGCGTTTGCATTGTTACAAGTCTCGCCTGGGGTATAAATGCCTCCATGTGCCTGTTTTTCACATAAGGGCACACAGCTCGGCAATGGGCCAGGGCACCTCGGTCTCACTCCACCAGCTGCCTGAGTGTCCCATAATGCTTCATCCTTGGCTCCCAGAGCAATCCCACTCACCCGGGCTAGCTCCCACAGCTCTGAGGAGCATCTGAGCAGCTGCAAGCAGCCCCTAGGAGCTCATTTATTCCTAAAGGGTTTATTTACTGCGGACTCCTCCCCCACCCCCTGCCACTTTGGGTGGTGTTTTTGTTTGCTTTTTTGTTTGTTTTGGTTCCCAATACATAATCTCCACTAGATGCTAAGGGGAAAATGTTATTATGGGAAAACAAACAATTACCTCCTTAGAGAGTAAAGGGAAGAAATGCTGAAATACAAGCCCCTGCCAATGAAAGGCAAGACCTCCTGCCAAGCTGTGATGATGGGCATGACTGCTTTTGAGCAGGCCACCTGCCACAGGCAGCGCAGAGGGCAAACCTGCCAACCCACAGCCAAGCCAGGCTAGCACATGGCAGCTTCCTGCCACCCCTCAGGGCCAGAACAGGGCAACAGGCCTTCGTCAGCTGCTGACAGTGTATGGCAGAGAGGCAGAACAGCAACTCCAGGCAGAATGGCACAGCCAGCACTGTCAGTACAGGCGAGGCTGAGCCTCCAGCTGGACGGTCCCAGGCCCGAGCTGTGTTCTCTAGAACCCTGCCTTCCTGGAAGGTGCCTTGGAGTGCCCTGGGGGAGGGCAGGCAGATGCACAGGCATGAACTCTCTCTGTTCACCTAGTTTCGGCCAGGGTAGCTCTGCCTACAAGTTGGACATGTGCATGTGTGTGTGTGCGCGAAGTGTATGAGTCCCAGGTGAGAAGTCTGGAAAAACACCCATCTCGCCCAATCTCCTTGCTTGTAAATGAGAATCAGGAGGTTCAGAAAAGGGTGGAGCATCCCAGAGCTGGGTTAGCACAAAGTTAGTGCTGGGAAGGAGGGACCCTGAGGCTTTCCTGATCAACTGGGGCACTGGCAACACGAGCTAAGGTGTGCCTTGCCTGCCAAATGTCCTTAGAGTATATGATAAAGTTAAGCTGTGCCCACCTCATAGGTCACCCTTCACAGCAGCCCAGAGACCTGTGCACAGGGATGCCATGGAGGCAAATTTTGCTGAGGCAGCTTCCCTGTGGGTGCTGGAATCTGGAATAAGATGGGGAACGAGGTACATGACAGCTGTTCACCTGGCACGTTCCAGTGGGAAGCAGGAAGATCTGTGGTCTGGCAGGACCGTTCTCACCTTGGGAGTGGCACAAACACATGCCTGGGGACTGATCTGATTAACACAGGGTGTTTCTGTCTGGCTGACAGATGGGGATGTTTCAGGGCACAGGAGCAGGCAAGATGTAGAACAGCTGTGTTCAGGAAGGGCTGTGAATAAGGCTTCCCTGGAACACCACCACATTCGGCCATTCCCTTTTGTCTGCTCCTGGGAAATGAGGGCAGAGATAAATGGGTGTGAAAGACACACTGTTGTCTGCGGGTTCACTCTGGCTCTTCCCAGAAAAGTACTGCCTCTCCTGCTGGCCACTAGTTCATCTTGGTAGTAAAGCCTTGGTTTCCACAAGAATGTTGGGGAAGAGGTGTTTACTGTCAGCTGTGTTCTGCACATCTCTGATCCTGTCCAGTGCCTGCCCTCATCTTCCTCCTGCTGATGGTCCCAGCCTTCCCCTCCCCACCACGACTTGCCCTGCTGTTAGCACACGTGTAGTACACACACCTATCACCATTATCTCCCACCACAATAATCCACAGAGCATGGTGCAGCTCACACAAAGCAACTGTGTTTTCCAGAAAAAAAAAATTCTGTCTTGGAACATTCTGTTGTGTACTTATTGAAAGCTAGGAGGAGAGAAGAGCCAGGAGGCAAGAGAGAGGAGGGAAGAGGAGGCAGGGGCGAGGAAATAACCAGGTGACTCACTCTGATTTCATTGTATTAGGGGAAAAGTCAACATTGCACATAAACATGGCAATTAGAGGGGAGAGCTGCTCGCCAGGGCCTGGGGCACGTACCAGAGCTGCGCAGCGATCACCGGGTTACTGGCTGCAAAGAAAGAGCAGACAGTTAGAGGCCATCCCAGGGCTGTAGGTCCCCCAAGTGGTGGGTATGCTTACATCAGCTGTGGGGTCCTGGGCCAAATGCTTCCTTTTTGAAAAGATTTATTTTTATTGGAAGGCAGAGCGACAGCAAGAGGAAAAGCCAGGGTGATCTTTCATCTGCTGGTTCAATCCCCCAAAAGCTGCCAACAGCCAGGTCTGGACCAGGCTGAAGCTGGGTCTCCCACATGGGCTGGCAACAGCTCAGTCAGTAACACGGACCATCATCTGCTGCCTTCTCAGGAGCATTAGCAGGGAGCTGGATTGCAAGTGGGGTAGTCAGGACTCTAACCTGGCACTCTGATATGGGATGCAGGTGTCACATGTGGTAACTTAATCACCTGTATCACACTGCCAGCCCCCTAAGCCAAGTTTCTACAAGCTCCGTATCTCCTCCTTCAGATTGCCAGGAAGCATAAGCCTGACATCACCACTAGAAATTGCAAGATGAAGCATGAAGGGACTGGGTTCCAAGCCACTGGATGTGCTACAGGCAAGGGCGGTGTGCACTGACGATACTGCTGAGGCCCCAGTTCTAAAAGTGAAGGAGGTGGGGAGGACGCTGGGGAAAGGGAGAGAAGCCAATGGCTGCAGGGGGAAAGAGCAAGAACAGGAGGGAGGTAGAGGTGGCCCGAGTCCTGCCCAGATAGTCCCCCATGCATCTTAAGCCCCTGCACAGGCTGCCCTTGCCAGCTGTCTGGGGACCCATGGATGACAGCAAGAGGCAAAATCCAAGACAGAACAAAAGCACACCACCTTTAAATGTGGAATGTCTCCGGGAAGGATAGCGTTTACTGGGCTTCCTCTCGAAGGTGCTGCTTCTGCGTAACCTGGCGCCGTGTGTGGCTTGATATTCTGTTCGGCCGCTGGGAAGCAAATAATATTTCATTACATGTTACCAGTTACCGATATCAGAATCTTGGGACATTATACAGCCTGGAAAGTGAACTTCACATTTTTAAGGGCTCAAGGCATTCTTCAACTTGGCTTCAACTCATTTGATTAAGACACGTACTGAGTTTAATGTTCCATTTGGAAACACAATTTCTTTCGCCAAATCCAGGCTAGTTTACGGAGACAAATATTTCCACCAAGACGCAAACCCTGCCATTTCAGTATCCACCGTTTGACCGCACAGAACAAGCTGGTGTGAGGATGTGGAATATTTGACTAAGAGAAGCTGATTAACCTAGCAAACCATGTTCAAGCAGCATAACACGGAGACACGCAGCTCATCCTTTAAAAGGAGGCTATCAATGACCGCTGACCTAAACCCTGTCTTTTCTGGTAGTGCCAAGGCACCCGGGGCTATTTCATGAGGCTTTCTGGGTTTTATCCAGTGTGACTGCTGGCTGAAACCTCCAGGATGGGCGTGGTTTTGGTCTAGCCTACACATGGCTACTTCATTCCAGTCAATGCAAGGCTTAGGATGGACCAGTTGCTCTAAGTGCCTCCTTGGGCCTCCCTCAACTCCAAACTCTCCTTCCTTCTGACCGTTCCTGACAAGCAGAGAGGATGCCTGATCTGAGCCAAATCCAGGGGAAGTTTCCTCCTAAGTGTAAAGAGCCTGTGGTGACAAGCATCCCGCCCTTCTCTCCTCTCTTCCCTCCAGTCCGTGTGCACATGGCAGGCTGCGACTGTCTTGCCAACCTCTGCAGGTCTGACATCTCCACCCTGCCCAGAACCCTGAAACTTGATTCTTTCTCAAAAAAGACTCAGTCTTTTTCTTTCTTCCTGGAGTAGTAAAAAGTACATTCAAACAAAACAGCGCTTTAGGCAGAGCTGCACTGCTGTTTCCTTGCATAGCAGATGTGAAATGAGTAAATCTCTTGGCAATTTAAGTGAAGTTCAGGGACATGTCACGTATGGGTAATGGTTACAAAACTAAGGAGCTTTCTGTTTTTAGCCACCACTCAGACCTGGCCATGTCCCTCCAACACCAAGCCCAGTTATGCATTACAATGTACACTCCCATGTCTTTAAGGCATAAATACACATCTATAGATTTGGAACAGAGATGTCTCAGATAATGGCACAAATCCTCATTAAAATTTTTTTATGGGCAGGGCAGAGACAGAGAGCTCCTATCTGCTGGGTTATGCCTATATCCCACACTGGAATGCATGTATATGTGTGTATATGTATATATATATATATATATACACATTTTTATTAGTTAATTAAAAGGTTCAAGGGTCAAGTATACCATCCAGAATTGAACCCCATCTCAACTTTCCTTTTCACTGGCTGTGCGTGACTTTGGGCAGTTAGTGAGCTCTCCCAGCTGTAGGGCCTGTCTTGCTAACAGGCAGCTCTGAGGATAAGGGTAGGCCCATGAAGAGTCATGGCACAGAGACATCCTATAGCACTCTCCAGAACAGTGCTACTTCCTACTTTGCCCTATACCTAGCCACACGCCTTGTGTGGCTGCCAAGCACGCGATACATGGCTGGGGAATAGCCTTTTAAAATATATTAAGCACACATTCATTTAAACGGTCATTCGTGGCTAGTGGCTGCTACTGCAGACAGCACAGCTCTGGCTTGATGTGAGCCAGGAGCCACTTTGTTATTAACTAGCTGCACGTGACCATGGAGGATACACGTGACCATGGAGGATATGAAGAGGATATGAAGGATGTAAGAGCTCAAGCGACTCACCCTGAGAGACCCCTACCTGAACCTGAAGCGGGAGCCCAGCCTGATGAAGTCAGATCTGGTTGACTTGCTGTTTCCTGGCACCCGCAACCGGAAGAAGGCGTGATGCTCGACTGCACACTTCCAGAGGTGCTTGCAGGTCCTGGCGCTGTCCAGGCGGAACACGAATGTGTGCTCCTGCTCGCGGCCCTGCGGGAGGAGGAGTAGGGTGCTCGACCGGACGTCTGCAGCCTTGTGGTGCGAGATCGTGCGTGGCAAGGACACAAAGTGGGAGCAGGGAGGGGCCTACCTGGTCATCGTCTTCCACCACCACCAGCGTCAGTTTGCTCTTTTTAAAATCCATTTTGGTAATTTTGGGCCTGGGCAGAGAGAAAGCATTGTAAAAGCATGGCCTGCGGTGAAGCCGTGCACACATCCAACAGCAGTTCCCCTTCTACGTTTTAAAGCCTTGACTGGCTGAGAAAAAGGAAGCATTCATTCACGGAAAGCATGACTGCTTAGAAGCTGCAGCGCCACCGCCACACACCCGCCACGACAACAGTACGGTGTGCTTCCAGAACGCAGTCCGGGGGTTGCAAATATCCATCAAGAATCATTCAGCACAGAAAATGCCACCACAAGATAGGAAAGGACAGTTTTAATATTAGACAAAACTAAATTACCAAAAGAATAAGCCTATTTTGTTAGCTCCTTCAAAGATTAATATGCCTGTCGGGGTCAGTCCAAGAGAATATTCACAGCCATCTCTTCCCTACAAACAAACGAAGTGACAATCGGTAGAGGGTTCTAACAGGGCGTCACAGAGCACAATGTAAAAACAATTTCCTCCCCGTGGGTCACTTAGCTGGCACACTGTTCGCACAGTTCTCAGCCACAGCGACACCACAGGACCTTACTGGGTGCAGCTCTTACCCTGACCACGTGCATGTCTACCCCGTACATTTCCAGCCACTTCGCTTTGTTCAGGTAGGAGAGTTCCGCCTGAGCAGGGCTCTTTCCCCTGGAAATAAGCAATGAACATGTGTGAACGGCAGCTCGTGATAGCCACAGAATCCTGACACGTGTGGCCATACCATGGGAGGGAAGTTACACAGCAGTTATGGCAAAGAAGGCTGCCAGTGGATGTTACCACCAAGAGATTTCCAAGAATATAGTAGTAACAAAAAAGGCAAAAACCACAGACCAGCACCTATAATAGGATTCCTTAAGGAAATGAGGCCATACTTTCTGTGTAGGGCCATGTATGTCAACATGTAAAGGGATAGGCAGCGGGGCATGTGCATGTGTGTAGCAGCAATAGTACTCACACAATCCTATGTAGTCTCCATGTTTGCAAGAATGCACTAAGGTCACCTTATTAAGAAAATGTCAAAGGAGCCTTCTATCAGGATCAGAAGCCAACGAGAAGTTGCCATGCTAAGTTCCAGGGTTCAAGAGTGACTTGGAACAGGTTGTGGCTTGAGATGATGGGACGGGATGGGAGGGAGGAAAGGTTACTCTCTGGGAAACCAGTGAGTGCCAGGCAGTGTGAGCAGTGATGGTGCGAATGTTGCCTGCTGGGAGAGTGGAGGGGAAAAGCAGAAGAATGAATGGCATGGTGGACTCGGGCATCTTAAGTACAATTCCTGAAACCCCACATGGCCTCGACATGTGCTTAATGAGGTCGAGTATCCCTTATTGGAAGCATTTTGGATTATGGAATCTCGGCATATGCATAACAAATTAACCTGGGGATGGAACTCAAGATGAAACACGTAATTCATTTCATTTGCTATATACCTTGCACACGCAGGCTGAAGGTCACTGTGTACACAATTGTACACATTTTACTTTACATGCATTTTACTTTCATGCATCATATGAGGTTAGGTGCGGGTTTTTTCCTCTATTTGCAAGATCGAGTTTTAGGGCAATTTAGATGTTATATTTTTCAAATTAGGGGTGCTGTATCTGGATTTCCAAAGGCTTCCTATAGAAGGTTAGGTCATGGAGTCACCAGAGACCTGGGTGTGGGTGGTGTTTCCTCACTACCCACACCTAGGATGCTACTAGGAGAGTGGTGGCCCACAACCCCAGAACCCCATTGCTGGCAGCCCAAGTAGATCAGATCCAGGCTCTGTCACTGAGAGAGAAACCGAGTATGGTTTGGTTCGTGCTGCTCGAGAGATGACTGGTGGGCTTTGGAAAAACAGGACTGAAACACAGACCAGAGAAGAGGAAGAGTGGGAGCCACAGGTTTACAGTCACCAACAGAGCAATTGTGCTGGCAGGCAAGAAAGACATAGAAAAGTGTGTGCACGACAACATAAACAAACCCATTAGGATGCTAGGCAGTCCCATCCAGGTACCTGCACTCTTTCCACCTCTGGAAGATATCAAATTCCATTGCCTCAGTCTGATTTGGAATGAACCGAAACTCAGACACCAGCTCTGGTGTGTGTTCTGGAAGCTCGCACTCCCCAAGCTCTGCTGCAGATTTCATAAAAGAGAGGAAAACAGGAGATACTGAACGCATTCTGTTATTGCTGCAGGCAGCTCCGAGGCATTCTGCATGACTGCAATGCACAGGTTCCCCCTTAGGAAGCTCCCTCTCCTTTTGGGAGGATTAACTTGCCTGGTAGCTGTGTGTGCACTGGGAACCCTCCAGGAACCATTCCAGGCCCTCTCCAGTGGACCATATACCATCATCTTAGTTATTACTGTCTCTCTCTCCCAGGAAGGCACTGATTATGTTACCCTGAGAAATGCACAGCCCCGAATCTGCAATAAAAGGCAACTGCAAGGAGGGAAGAGCTGCCCAGAAACAGCCCTTTCCCAAGGCACTCGAGGGCACACCAGACCCAGAGCTTTAGCATCTGCAGTGCCAGAGAGGACGGAACAAGAATTCGGCACAGGCAAAATCAGAGGGTTGGGAGGCAGGGCTAGAGGGCTGCAGGAGTGACCACAGTGGGTCAGGCGTGACCTGACAGTCAAGTGCAACCTGGGAAGGAGACCGCATGGCAGAAAGGAATAGTCCCATGAGCGATCCCAGCTAAGCACCCAGTCTGTACTGCAAGGGTCCTCATTCTTACCAAGCTCTTCACACATGTTCATGTTGCACCAGGCATGAGAAAATCCACATTCCTTACCCCGACCCCAACCCTCTGGCTCAGGAAGCAGACTCCAGAAAGTCTGCCTCCCCAAAGGTTGGTCTGCATAGCAAGGCACGGACCTGCCTTTGCAAGCCTGCTCTGCCCTGCTCGCAAGGCAGCACTCCAGTCCCCATTCTTGACTGACTCCAACAAAACCTGCTTTTTTTTTTTTTTGCAAGATGACAGGTGTGCAGGGCAACCTATTGGGATCATGACAAAGCCCATCACAGGATCACCCCAGTCCACGACAGCTTCTGGCTCCCAGGGTCTGCAGTGAAACCTGAGAACTGCATTTCTAACACCTTTCTGGCAGTGATGCCCACACAATTCGAGCGGGGCAATGCACTCAGAGGATATGTGTGACTCTGAGAAAATCCCACCAAGTGACTGGCAGCATCCATCTGAATATCTTCAGGGATGGCAAGCTCCATGGCCCTAGCTGCCCTCTTCACTCCCCACCGAGGCCATGCCAGGCTGGGCTCAGGCCACTAGTTTCCTCCCATGGCCTGTTACTTCAGGACAGTAACTTCCAGTTGGCCCACAGAAGTCCCTGTCTATCCGGAGGACACAGCAACGCACAAGGGACAGAGAGGGGGAGGGAGGTCTGTGTGGGACAATATCTGACATGGAGCAGGGACCTGGCCAATTGCTCTTCATCTGGATGTAGCTCCTTGTTGACATTAGCAACTAAATTGGACTGCTGCACCTTTGTACAAAGACCAAGGCTCAGGGCAGGAGGTGCAGTGCTTGGTACTTTGGAGATAGACACAAATGAAGATTCTGCTCTGGAAATACTTGTCCAGAGGTAGCAAGGGCTGGGCCCCAAGGCTGGAGGACGCCCCTGACCGGCTTGGTCTCAAGGAGCATTCTGAAGCTAAGGATCTGAAAGCCCAGAGGGGCTGTTTAGTCTTGGAAGATTCCCTAGAAACAAACCCCACCTTGCCCTGTAACCACAGGTTAAGGCCATTCAATAGGACCCAGAATCCAACAGCAAGCCTGGACAAGGCCAGAGTATTTGTGCCACTGAGGTTATGAAGAAGCAGAGGGCGAAGCCAGGCAATGGTGAGGTTTCCCAGACGTGTTCAGATTAGGAACAGGGGCAGGGTCTCTCCTCACTACCACTGTGCTTAAACCAAGCCTGGGTGAGGCCCGCCACCTTCCCAGAACCCTGCTGGGCAAACCTGACTCTTCATGAAGGAGGTGGACAGTCTAGCTCAGACACAGGGTCATGGGCTTGAGTCCTTGTTCTGGCACATGCCTTGTGGGTAGCTATGGCAGACTCACTTCAGCACCCTGGGACTCAGGTGCCCTTAACCCATGCATGGGAACTGTTACAAGGACAGAACAAGATCTCGGGCATGCAACAAATGACTGCCCATCCTTCCTCTTGGTCCTTCCCTTTTTTGGTTGGATGTATTTTCAAATCTACCACACATTTCATTCCCACAAGGGCAGAGTTTCCAAGCTGGGTCACTGTCCCCAAACTCAGGAGGTTCCATCAATTCAGAGACAATGGTGGCAGGACACAGCCTGGAGGCTTGGGATGAAAAACAACCCTTCATTTAATTCAAACCCATAGAGAAACTACCCGACCTTGAAGTGACAGCAGGCTTCCCATGGGATGGGGAAGCCTGTGCAGGATGCCTACCAGAGCTTTCCTGCATGTCTCAGTCTTTTAAGTCTTCATTTGTTTTTTTTTTTAAAGATTTATTTTTTATATTTTTTATTGGAAAGGCGCATATACAGAGAGGAGACACAGAGAGGAAGATCTTCGTCTGATGATTCACTCCCCAAGTGAGCGCAACGGTCGATGCTATGCCGATCCGAAGCCAGGAGCCTCTTCTGGGTCTCCCACGCGGGTGCAGGGTCCCAAAGCCTTAGGCCATGCTCAACTGCTTTCCCGGGCCACGGGCAGGGAGCTGGATGGGAAGCGGGGCCACTGGGATTAGAACTGGCGCCCATATGGGATCCCGGTGTGTGCAAGGCGAGGACCTTAACCACTACGCCATCGCGTCAGGCCCTTAAGTCTTCATTTGTAACTGACATAACAATTCCATCTTTAATTACAGTAATGTTACCATTTTGGCTCAAAATGCAGTACTTTCTCTAAGATGAACTTACAGATGCCTGAACTTTGTCTTATGAGACTGGATTCTGGACAAGGTACATGGTTCAGCCAGAGCTGGGCTTCCTGAGTGTGTGATGCCCTCATGGTAACTCAAGCTCCAATTGTTCAGGAAGATGCACTAGCTAACAATATGGTGCTAGTGTCTTGGGAAGTGACCTCTGCAGTGGATAAATGACATTAGGCCTGGACAGGTGCTTCTGGTCACTAGATGTCCACTGATGTCCACTACTGGGCCAGCAAGCCTGATGCTGTTTGCTACCTTGGCAAGACCTGGACCTGGCCGAAGTGTAAAAGCCACTGCCATACCCACTAAGCCATAGGTGGTCCAAGGTGCTTACCCTAAGGTAAGAAGTGGCTGAGAAACACAGATAGGAGGCACTCTGGCATAGGTGGCTATGGATGGCATTGCTGTTACATCTATTCTAGTGCCCTTAGACTACTCGGTTAAACTCCCTCAGAGGGTTTCTTCAGCCTCAATCCTCCTGTATTCAATGGGCATCTGCTATCTGATGAAGCCCCATTAAACACAGGAATTAACAGGTGACAAAAGAATGGATAATAGGCATTTCTTGAAATAATTAACAACCATGTTTATGCATATACACAAAAGACTAAAAAATAGCAAAAGCAATCATATGGGACATCTGTATCAGGATGTCCTCTGCTATAGGTATGTATGATATCTCAGATCGGGGTTACAGCTTGAGTCAGGGCCAACTCTAGGAATGTTTGTGGGAGGGCAGGACAGTGGTGATGCCCTCCTTCCTTGCAGCCACTTCAGTGTCAGGCTGCTACCCTGACAGTTAGGACCTGGAATAGTTTTTCAGATCAATATTTGAAATCTGGCAGACTATGACAATGGGAAGCCAAGTCTTACCGTGGAATACTAACTATGAACAAATACATCACAAGTCGCAACCCAACACAACCTGACAAACACGCTGGTAAAGGAGTCTTGGCCACGTTCACCTGACATGCAACTGAAACCCCAGACATGTAGTATGCTCTTCACACATGGTAAGACTTCATGAGTGTTTCTCCAGGGCGTGCCATGGTGGGAAGAGCTAAAGCTGACAACGAGACAGGCAAACCTCTGATCCCCCCATGTCAAAGCTCCCAGTTGGACCTCTGTCCCAGCCAGATTTTGATACCCAACAAGCTGCTGAACCCTGCCCTTGAACCTGCCACTTCCAGTCCAACCACTCACAGCTGCCTCCTACTGCCCTTGGATAACTCCACACCCCCACACTGTACCCCAAATGTGTTAGTATTGCTCCATGGCCTTTTTATACAGCCAGCACCGTCTGTCCAAGATGCACATCTGCCTTGGCCTGCCTCCTGCTTCCGAGCCTGCAGGGGCACTGCTGCTGACCCCACCGAGTTCCTTCATTTCAAAGGGTTGTGTAGGTGAACTTGTACCCTGTGGGGTTTCTCAGCTGTGGCTCCCTGGCCATACCTGTGTGGTGGGCTTTGGGTCCCAGAATCATCGCTCCCTCCTTGTTCTCTCAGGAGTGTCCCCCACCCTTTTCTCTGAGCCCTTCCTTGCACATTTTTTTGTTGTTCCCCGAAGGCCTGCACTGTTTGCCTGTCTTCCTCATGGAGCACAGCTGCTCTGGGACACAGTCCATGCCACGTTCATTTCTGTTTCCAGAGGAGCGCTGGGCCTGACACATGCTTGTGGAGCTGAAAAGCAAGGCCAGCACAATGCACTGTACCTTGCAGGCAGAGAGCAGCTAGTTCCACGGCTGTTTCGTAGGGGCATTTCAATCTTGAAAGAAAGAAAAGAAATTAATTCTAAAAAGAAGCTTAAGTACTCATAATCATACAAAATGTCATCGAAATTATTTTTCAAAAGGCAGTTCTATTTAGACAATGATTTTTGTTCTCAGTAGTTTATATTTTGGCTGTCATATTAAAGAACACAAACAAGATAACGCTACAAATTTCCCTAAGTTGGTTCTCGTCACATGGCAAAACAACCCAATTGTGGCAGGGCTTCTGTCAACCATGTGGGAAATTTTAATGAATTTGTTAAGAAGGGGAAGTTTGGAAACCAGAATGAAAAACAATTCCCTCTACCTTAATGTTTTTAAAGTCATTTAAAATTTATATTATCTTGACAGAGTACATGCATACCTCTCTCCAAGCCTCTCTAAATCTTTCTGGAAACAAGGCCACAGCATTAAAAATCAGCGTACAGGTGCTGTATCTGACAAGGCTACACTCAGCCATGTATAAGTAAGGAAGGACAGGGGTACATCTGTAGAGGAGTTCCACCATAAATCGAAGGGTCTCATTCACGCTTCACGTTTCAAAGTCACTTAGGGAAACAGTAATAACTTACATTGGTACAGCACTTCAAGTTTCCAAAGCCTTTTCACATTAATTATCCAATTTGCTCAATGCATGGAGTTTGTAGAACACCTCAGGGTGTGTGTGGCTGGGGTCCCTCATCTCCCACTGTCCAGATGGGAAACTGAGTGTGAGCTACTCTAGGTGCTGGACTAGTTCACCCTTCCATGGTGATGGACACTAAACCAGGCTGAAGCACACACAAACTACAAAGCACTGTACAAATGCAAGGTGTGTCATTACTGTTTTTCCAAGCTAAAGGCCACTTCCACAGTTACAAGGCCCATACATGGGAAGCATAGTACGGAGAGAGAGATCAGAACACACACACACACACACACACACACACACACACACACACACACACACACACACACATATCAACAAAAGACCTGTATTGCATGGCTGAATAAGGCAAATGTATACACTGTACAATCTACTTGTTCTATGGTGTATTGAAAGCTTGCAAATTTTTGAGGTTTCATTTCAGATTTCCTTCAGGTCATAAAATGCACTCTTGTCAATAATATCAGGTTAATGCTTGTTAGATTCAAGATAAGATTTAGTTTTTTTTGTATAATAGAAAACAGTCAACACATATGCTGAAAAAAAGACACAACGGTTAAAGCTACGACTGCTAAAATATCTCATCTTTAAAGTAAATTCATACTGCAGGTGAGATCAACCACTTCAGTGCCAATATTGCTCAATAATTGTGGTGTGTAGCCAGTCGCTCAGGATTTAAAAATCAATGTTAAGAAGGGAAGAGGAAAATGAGATGTCTAAGGCCTTTTCTGTCTGTATCAGAACATAACCTTTCTACTTGAATGCAGATGGGGATGAATGAGACTTTTTGACTATCCCAACACTTGTAAGTGTATACATACCAGTAACGTATCTTGCTTGCAAATATGACAAATGAATGGGGCGGGGATGTGATCAGGGAGAGAGCTATTCCCAAATACACATCACTTAAGATATTAAATGCTCTTGGAAATGCTTCAAGCCATTGAGTAATCATTTTAAAAACAGGATGATAATGACAGTGATACAAGTATTAGACTCACTTTACAATGCCTGGTGTACTTTTTTTTTTTAATTTCAAAAAGGGAACAAGAGTTAAAACAATGAATTATTTTCAGATACACTATGTTCTATCCTGGAGTAAGAGTTAGAACAAAAACATACTTACTTTCCAGAAAGAATGTCATGCCTGAGTTGTAAAACAAACAGGTACCTGACAAACATATACAAAAGTCAACAGAGGGTAACCCTTTCCCAGCCGCTTTCAACCCAGACTTCCCGTGGCAGAGCCCACCCACACACAGCCTGGATTTGTGCATTGTAAACAGGGAGTCCAAGTCAAATGAGAATTTGGGTGGAAGCATCTCCTCCTGGGGCTCCCGGAGGGCACCCCAGAACCTGGCTAGGCAGGCGAGTGCATGTAGGGTTCGCAAGATACTTGCAGGATGGAGCATGGAATACTATACGGTGGGAGTAGCCCCACCATCCCCTCGGTGCTGGAGTAGAGAGCCACACAGGCATGCCATGCACCCAATCAGGCAGGCGTCTCCACCCACCAGAACATCCCAGAGGAGCTGTGGCAGACTGTAGTCGATTACTGCTCTGGGCTTTTTGTATGGGTGCAATTTTACTGCAGATTCTCAAACAATCAAGCACTCACATGATGATCGCACGCACACCCAGAACAAGAAAAGTCCCAAATTTTCAACCAGTTACAGAGTTGATAAAAATTAGGGATGAGGGCAGCAGATAACACAGGTGGGGTTTATTTAAGTTAAAAAAACCAAACACATAGCTTGTGTGTGTGTGTGTTTAACTAGGATGTAGGCATCAGAACCACTTACAGTACTTGATAAAAACTAAAGCTGCCCACACTCTATTCCATACACAGGGAGTCAGACTCCTACAAACAAGAGTGACCCCCAGAAATGCGACTTGTCCAAAGGCTTCCCAGATGTTTCTGTTCACACCTCCTCACTTAAAGACCACTGGTTTTGATGGCAGCTGGCAGCAGCATATGTCCTCAAGAACACTGAAGAGGAACACTAGAATGATTTAATTTGTTTGGATTTTGGAAACAATGCAGGCAGGTACTCTATGGATATCCAATCCACAGCACAATGTGGGTGACCCAGAAATCAAAGGTGGGGAGGACTGCAGGTTCTTCTGGAATGCTCCAGATTGTGACTACTTCCCAGCCATTGAACTTGGCTATGAAACTCAGGATATTACTTCATGTACTCACGTTAAGGGGGACTGGGGCATGATATGGCTGCACATTCTAATGTCTGCAGGAAAACCCAATTATAGTAGCCCAGAGTGGTTCCTTGCATAGGACTGTGGTGCCTGCCTTGGGTCTCTGATGTGCCATCTGAGCAGTGATCTCCAAGTTAGTGAGCACTCCAGCCCATCACACAAACAGCAAGGAAGAGCCTCCAGTGTAATCAAAATCAGAGAGTGCTGGGAGAGAATCTCACTGACGGTAGCAAAGTTGGAGGGGAATCCCGCACATAAAACCTGAAATTCTCTTTACTTCTACACCGAAAGCAGGCACAGCATAAAAACACTCAGTTGGAGCCGAAAGATAACACACAGGGACTCTCAAAACTCTGCTTTAATTTACAGCAATTTTGTTTTAAAGAGAGGGTTCTTTCTACTTTAACAATCAAGGGAATATTTTGCAGTTCCTTTAAAAAGGTAATTTCAGACTGAGAAATCTCTCCTAACAGCTACCTTCCCTTTCTGTGGCTGAAACAAAATGCTATAAAATAATCAACCAACTTACCCCAGTTCCAGGAAGACAGAAGTATAACAAGAAAAGAAGCCTAATTTCTATTCCCTAAGAAAAAACTCAAATTAGGCAAAGTAGTGGATTTTCAGCAGAACACAAAAGCACAGACAGCAGGCCTTCGGAGGGAGACAAGCTCACAATTTGGAAGACCCAGAGATTATACACCTGGCTTGGATCTGGCCCTGCATCATGTCCTACCTTGTAAACTCTTCACGAAGGTTGTTTGGTTCTGAAGAATAGTACTTAACTCGGAAGTGCAAAGCGTAAGCAGGTCCAACTGCACACATCAAGACAGGAAGGTTGAAGATGATTTTCACCCAGGTTTGAAGAGCAGAGAATGGACAAAAGGAAAAGGCATTAAGCCTATGACACATTCACCACAACACTGGGAGGGCACCACATGGGCAAACCAAACTAGAGCATGCTTTTCAATCCTAGTGTGGAAAACTGAAAGAAACTTTGTGCCCCCTCTGTCTGGAAGAAAACCTTAATGATCTTGTTGTACTCATTTATTTTTGCTTGCTTTACCTCTGATTCCAAAACTCTCATTTGGTATCTGCTTTGTAATACAGCAGACTAATCACAAGTGATGTGTAGTCAGCAACGTGTCATCAGAGTGTATGTTGTCACTGAAGATGCCTTTCAGTATACTCACACCTCCCACAATGGCAGACTAGCTCAGGGACTCTACAATGGTACATTGCATAAACCCACATGGACAGCAGGCTGAGCTCTCTAGGTTTCCATAAGTGCCCTCAATCATGAGAAACCACCTAATGGTGCATTTCTCAGAACACGGCCATATCATTAAGTGAGTGATCCATGACTGTACTTTTAAGAGACTATAAATTTTTTTCAAATGCTTTGAATATAAACAACATTGAAGAATCATGATCGCCACACAAATGAAAAAGCTGGACCAGATTTCCAAAGATCCCTCTTGCCTTTCCTTGGGGAGTCTACTCTGAAACTCAGTGGAATACAGAGACTCCTAAATAGTGTGTTAATCAGATCTCATGGCAGGGAGGGATGTGTGTGTGTTTGATTTCAAATGATAGCATAGTCAGGCTTTATTTCCCAAAAATAATTCTTTAAATTCTAAACTCTTAACTTTTGACCAGCTCACAGGAACAAAAACTCAGCCACCAAAAATTGGATTATTTTTAAGATGTTTTCAAGTTTTAACAAAGACACTAAAACCTCAACAAACAAGCAATAGACTTCACTCACAGATTAAAGAAACAAATGAGGAGAGTAAATTCTCACTTACTTTTCATCTGCTTTTTTATGGGTTTGGAATGATCCAGCCAGTGCTGTAAGATAAAGAAAACACTGCTTTAGGAACAATTACCAGGAAACTGTACAGGCCAAGTAGCTTCCATCCTCTGCAAAGTTTAGCTAACTCTATGGGGGGAAACATCAGGGACTGGGCCAGGGCATGAGCTTTTGAGGTGTAAATCCATAAACTACTTGGCACCACTTAAAAATTCCCAAGTGCGTTTTCTTCCCTGGGGAAGAGGGTCCAGAGTTTCCACTTAAAAAAAAGAAAATGCCTGAAAGAACTTTACATCTATCAATACACTCATTTCTAAAGTCTCCTCTAGTTGGCTGAGCCTCCAATTGTTTCCGCCTTCTCCAGGAGTTCCAAGTCCCTCCTCACCCTAGCACTCAGTACAAGCTGCAGGTGGCCAAGAATCTCAGCACAGGCAGCCCACCTCTAAAGGTATGAACCTGCACATGGCTGGGGGTTCTCTTTCTTCTACTACCAGGAAAACGACCCGTGCTGCAGACATGAAGACACACAGGGATTTGCCAAAGATAATTTGGCTTTGATCAACACAGTTGTTTTGCCTACCGCCCCCCTTTTTTTTTGTCGTCAGAAGAATCACTTTTAGTCATATCCAACTCAAACGGGGATGAGAAACATAGAACCCATGGGCTGACTGAGGCCTGTGACATCATCTGGTCTGGCTGAGCCAAGGCAACTGCAGGTGGGCCGCAAAATGCAGTAAATCCTTAGCAGGTTAATTTTTAAGTTGATCACTTTGCATGGCTCATGGAAGATTAAGGGGCATGGTGCAGATGCTCCTGATTTAGGACAGAACTGCATCCTGGTAAGTCCCATAGCAAACTAAAACCATTCTAAGCTCAAAATGTACTTAACTCAACTGATCTACTGTCCATCACAGCTTAGCAACACAGGGCACTGCTGTCTCTCAACTTCTCCCTGTGATCACAGGTCTGATGGGGGTCAGATCATGGACTTCCAGCTCAGACAAACATTAGCACTGGGATGGTGTCTCCCACCCTTAGTTGAGAACTCATAGGCCAATGGGGACCTTGTGTTTGAGCACTGTTTCTCGTGCCAGGCAAACCGTGGTGTCCAACAAGGCCTCATTAGCTTCTTGAGAAATAAATGCTAAGTACAATAGCTTTGTTTCTAAAGAAGGCAAGGAGGGACTTTCCCCTTCACTTTCCACTGACTTGGTGCATGTGAGAACTCATGGCTGGGAAAGCATCTGGGACGACACAGCCAGAGTGGGTTTCTCATTAGTTTTTCAAAGCCAGAGGCTGTTCTGCTGAGTGCCACAAGACCTCCAGAAGCAATCTCAATTCTGCCTGTTTTAGTATTGGGAAGGGAGGGACAAAATTAGCAGTGTGTACTCTACACCTAAGCCAAGAGCCCATTAGGACTGTGTGGGAGGAGAGGGATAAGGAAATACAAAGGCAAATAGCAGATGAATTACAATAAGCCGTGGGCATGCAATGGGCGAACATGGGCTTTTGTCATCTCTACTCCCAGCCAGGCAACCAGGGAATAAAAGCAGCCATCACTGCAGGCAGGATGCGTATCTTGAAGGTGCAGGGCAGCATGCTTCATCTCATTGTTAATAGCTCTGAATTGGAGATGACCTAAATGTCCATCAACAAAATCCGTATTAAAAAAATGGCTCAACCATATAATGAAATACTCTTTAAAACAGTGTAGGCCTATCTTTCTTTTTGTGGCCAGAGATCCACAGCTCATTGTCAGATTGGGGGAAAAAAACAGGAAGGATCTCATTTATCTCAAACTGTTATTTTCTATCAGACACATCCAGACGATTTGGAGAGGTTATTTGGCAATGTGGGGGCTATGAATGCTGCTTTGTTTTGCTTTTCTGCCTGATTTTTTTTTTAAAGATTCATTTCAAAGGCAGTGCTACAGAAAGAGAGAGATCAGTCTTTTATTCATTGGTTCATTCCCCAAATGACCACAATAGCCAGTTCTGGGTCAGGCTGATGGAAGGACCTACAAACTCCACTTGGGTGTCCCATGTGGGTGTGTAGGGAGCTGGATTGGAAGCAGAGCAGTTGGGACAGGAGCCAGCACCCACAGGAGATGCCTACACTGCAGAGGGCAGCTATTACTCCCATTATTTACTCACTGTTGGCCTGTCTGGTAGTTTTTGGATTATGAGGTTTTCATAAGCACCACATCAATGGCTAAGATGAAATATACTCCTCTCTCAATTCCACATGAACTCACCACCAAGAGAACTCTGCTGAAAATGGCTTGGCCCCCTTCTTTCTTTTACAAGATTTATTTATGGGGCTGGCACTATAGCACAGCAGGTAAAGCACCTGCCTGAGATGCTGACATCCCATCTGAGCATGGATTCAAGTCCCAGCTGCTACACTTCCTATCTAGTTCCCTACTAATGAACCTGGGAAAGCAAAAGAAGACGGTCTAAGGATTTGGGCCTCTGTATCTATGTGAGTTCCTGCCTCTGGTCTATAACTCTAGTTATTGCGGCCATCTGGAGAGCAAACTGCCAGATGAAAAAACTGTCTCTCTCTCTCTCTCTCCCTGTAGCTCCACCTTTCAAATACATATTTTAAAAAATAACAATAAAGGCAAAATAATCTCATAATTTTTTTTCTTTTTGGAAAGAGTTAGATAGAGACCTAGAGGGAGAGACAGAGATTTCCCACTGCTGGTCCACTTCATAGATGGCCACAAAGGCCTGGTTTGAGCCAAGCAGAAGTCAGGAGTCACGAGCTTTCTCCAGGTCTTCATGTGAGTGGGTGTAGTGGCCCAAGCACTTGGGCTATCCTCTGCTGCTCTTCCCAGGCCGTTAGCAGGAAGCTGGATTAGACGTGGAATAGCCCAGATAAGAAACTGCGCCCAAATGGGGAACTGGAACCAAAGGGAGCAGTCCAACTTCCTATACCACAATGCTGGCTCATCCCTTCTTTCCTTTCTCTCACCTCCTTATCACTTTATTATTTTCAACTGATCAAGTTTAAGCCCACCCTTTGACTCCCTCCATCATCTTCCTCCAGCTTCATCAAACTCTAAACTGTATCCAAGTTTCACTGGTGTGGTTTCCTTGGCCATGGTTTTCAAACATGACTGTGACTTAGTAAAATCATTCGAGTAAGTTTTAAAGTCAACACTCATCTTCCAATCAAGACTCAGTAAACAGAATCTCAATCTCAAGAGCATCATTGTTTCATAACACCCCCAGCATGCCTGTTGCATTCAGTTCTGGAATTCTCTGCATCTTTTCTTAGTTGGGGACCCAGAGACATTGCCAGCAACTTTTTAAAATGGCTGCTTGAACCCTGTCAAATCTCATGGAGTTCTAGGACTTACGGGCCAGCCCAGGAGGTGACACAGCTGGACGCGTCCAGGCAGACTGTGTGGGCAGCTGCCCACTTTACTCAGCAACTGCTGTTACAACTGGAGAGGTAGTAACATGGTTCTTCCCAGGGCCATTTGGATATTCATACCATCTGTAGGCCATATACAATGATCAGCTTCAAAACCAGCCCACTATAGATTTCTTGAGTTTTGAGTCCTGCCTGTGATAGCCTTGGCAGGGCCAGACCAAGTGATCCTGCGAGCCTTGGATGGCCCCAGGGCTAGGCATGACCTGCTCCTGTTTCCCTTCTCCGCCACAGGCAGGCTCCACTCTTTTACAAAGAGCCATGTCTAGAGCAGCACAGAAGGCCTGGCACTATCATTTTCTAAACTCCTGGGACCCCTGGGGGTATCCAGGTTTGGTTTTGTTTGCTTGCCTATGAGGTGGTTAAGAACTCAGTCACTGCTCCAGTGCACTTCCACCAGACCCCCTTGTGTCTCCAATATGGGGCACTGGAAACCCCATGCGATGCTCAGTGAGTTGGACTCTACACACAGCTTTGTGGGCCATCTTCAGCAGCAGCAGCAGCACCTGCCTGGGATGTCCACTTGTATCCTGGTGAAATATAGCCACACTGCATGCTGGAAAGAGCCAGAGTGAATGGCTGCAGACCTCTCAACTGACTATTAAGCCGGTCAGTGGAGACAGACAGATGCATTTCTGAGTTCAAATGGCAAGGCATTTAACTCAAACAGCCTAATGGGTGTCAGCAAGGTGCTCTCTGCTCTGAATTCCTCATCCATATCCATCTGGCAAGGGCCCTTCCATAAATCCAGCTGGAAGAGATGATCTTGGCAGAGCCATCTGCTGGAACAGTACATCAATTCTGAAGCAATGACACGCATATGGCTGGCGGAATTCAATGGCCTGAAACTGATGGGGAAGCACAGGAGCCACGCTGCCCAGGAGGAGTGTGCGCTGCCCTAGAGGCCTCAGAGCTCTGCTGGGACCTCCCAGAGCCCCCCAGCGCTGGGCCTGAGCGAGAGAGTTCATCACAGGAGATTCTTCTGGCTTGCTGAACAATATCTAGCTGGTATTGAAATTAAGGAAATCTGAAGAGCTCACCCTATCAGATGGTGAACAGAGAAGGAAGGAAATGAATATTCTTGGAGTTCATGCAACCAACTCAGGCCTCAGCAGAAAGGAAGGTGGTGTTGGGAGGCCAAAGGAGGTTAGGTCTGGGAAGTTGATTCAGGACTCGAGCTGGTGTTGGTGTCTAGTGTATGAGGCTTCCAGGCTACAAACCAGCTCGAAGTACTTACTCTGTTCACAGGGGGACTCCCTCCTTCCCATTCTGGAAAAAGCCCATGAACACCGGGTCTCTTGAGGTTCCATTGGGGATTAACCTGCTGAGGCAGGGGGTCTCTTCACCAGCTTTCTAGAGAGCCCAGGATTTGCACACATGCCCTGCTTCTTGCTGCTGGCACCCAGAGCCAGGCTCCTGGGAGGCCTGCAGCTCTCCTTGGGCCCATTTTATACTTCTGTATTCCACTCTAGGAGGAGACAGGAGATCAGAGATCAGGGCCCAGCTCTGGCACAAGCCAGGCGCCCTGTGCTCCAACCTCAGCTTCCTCACCTTTGAGCCTGAGCTGTCCCTTGGTGCACCTACCGAGTGTGCTAACTGT